GAAAAACGGAGGTTGGCAAGAGAAGCAGCAAATGCGAGGGTAAGACATCAACGCGACTTCAATACTGATATTATACCTGATTTTATATTATAATTTACATGTTCTTACAAATTTTAAAAGAAACAAGAAGAGCTTCGGTTAGAACAAGAACGTCGTGAGAAAGCAGCCAAGAATTCTTATGATTCAATCTTTGATGAGGCCAATATGCGTAGTAATTATCAAAATGTAGCTGATGGTGAAGAAGTTGATTTAGAAGAAGATTTCATGTAAACGACAGGGTTTTGATATTATATGCATTTAAAGCTTATTATGAGGCTTGAAAAACATATACTTGCTATGTATATGTGCATAATCTTCAGGCCTCACTGAGTCAATGTGTACATGATGTATACTATTTTAAAGTTATTGAAGATTACATAAATTAGCTATATCTTGTACGTTCGTAAGTACATTAAAAATAAAGAATATGCATATATTTCGTAATGTACTTTATTGTACTTTTTTTTTTTTTTATCTATATAGTACCGTACACCCTTAATGTGTAGAATATACAAAAGGGTATACGGTACTGCATCTTTAGATTATTGTGAAATATCATAGGGATGGTAAAGTCAGTTTAGGTCCGATCTTTGTTCCAAAACTTTCAGGTTCTGCTGTATGGACCTTTGGACTGAGTCCTCATTAGAGATGCAGTAGAACTCAAGGCATCAGGATGTGCCGTATCGTAACTAAGTTATAATTTGTTATAACTTTATATTTTAAATTATGGCATATCGTAATGTGTGTATTATATGCCATATTGTTTGTTATGTCGTAACTTTATCACCTTGATTATTCCATCTTTTCATTAAATATTCGAGCTACTAAATTTGCTAGATTATAACTAAATTTACTGGATTATAATTATGATTTTCTAAACCCAACCTTGTATTCGATAAATGAATTATTTTTCTATCACAAATATCCACTCTATCCATTTCAAAATGACATTTCATCCATTTTAACCATTTGTGGCTGAAAAGTTTCTTTCACATACAGTTTGTGATGCGAAATAGAAAAATATCTTAATGCAAGTTCTGATAATGGTTTTTTTTGCGCACCAATACTAACCACCATTTTGACATTATATATAGGTTTGTCTTGATTTGTAATATTTTTAAGCGCATCCATTATTTAAGATTTTGCAAAAAATTTTTTGTAACAAATTAATTTTGTATATATTTATAATAATGCTTTCATGACATACTACGACATACATATAGTTTATTACATATAATGTTGCTTTAATAAAGTTATAATATGGTATAAAGTTACGCTATAAAGTCAAGTCATTGATTGGGTTCACACACAGGAGTTATCATTATTTTCGGAAATGTCACTTTTTGCCTATAATAACACAAAACGTATGAAAAGTGGAACATCTTCCAAGAGCATGGATGAGCGAAATAAAAAACGCTTTCTACTAGCGATAAATTAAAAATAGCTTTGATTAGTATTGCAATTTTTAGAAACAAGTTCTTAAGACTACGTATTCAATGGGTATTAGTATTACCAAAACTGGTTAAGTTTATTAACCGAAGACAAATCGATTTAAAAGTTTTTATAATAAATCTCATTAAAATACTCGGGCCAAAACTGCCCTGGAAATCAATAAGATTTTGTAAATTTCGGCGCGAAAATCGATTGGCATAAAAATGCATATCTCCCGAAATTATTGATCTTAAAATCATATTTTTTGGACTCTACAAAGGCTTTATGCTGTTCTTTAATTGTATCTTTTATTTAGCTAATAATTATAACGATCTGATTTTAATTAGTGTTGCATTGATGATTTTGGTGATTATGCCACGTAGAAGGATTAAATGTAATGATTATACAGAAGTAGGTTTCTTTTTTGAAGTAAAATCAAGTGTAGTCTAGATATTATGAGTGCCGGTAAAATAAGTTTCATTATCATTTATTGGGATCGAACATATATGCTTTCAATTACGCATTATACAGTATGTCGCAGATTAGCATTTTGGCGTACTCATATTACGATAAATCAATACAAAAAAAAAATTAGGATGAAATTAGAAACTGTCTCGCAAGAACTCAACAATTTAAATTTTGGTACATAATAGGCATGAAGGAGTTCTATTGGTTGATATATTGTTATGGAGAAAGACATCCAACAGATATTCAATACATTGCTTTATGGATTTCAGGATTTTCCTACATATGTAGACCCCCAGATTACTTAAATGGCGCGACTAGATAATTTACACCATACAAATAAATTGTGAATGAAAAGAATGAAAAGAAATTAATAAACATAAATAGTTATTCCCCCTCTAGTTATATGGTATGATGTGAATTTACATTATTAATCACAATTGTTATTTTTCTTATAAACTTCATTTCTTTTTTTCTTATTAGTTATCTCCCCGTAGACCTCGATTGACAAACGATCATTATGAATCAATCAGGGCGGCCTTCCGAAGTTCGAGTTATATGATATAGGTATACAATTATAGCATCGGCAGTAACACCCAATATTTCGTTATCTACAATGGATTTTGAAAATGATGCTACAATGGTTACGAGGTGACTTATCCTTGATTTTTATTTTATATGTTCAAATTGTAATTATCGTTACAGACGAATCATTATCGTAATTATGCCATAAAAATATGGGAAATTCTATTTTCACCCGGGTTAAAGTCACCCGATATATAATTTCCATTATATTATATAATACAAACTACT